ACTGGAAGTTTATATACCTTTAAAAGTACTGTAAGGCCTCAATTTTTGAGAGTCACGAAACTTTGTAATATAACAATATATTGCTTTTTTTTTTTCTTCTCCTTTTCTTTGTATTGTATCATATTACTAATTCTACACACCTTTATGCTTTTAGTGTGAACCTGATACATACTAAATTTGATACTTATATTTTCGTATGAAAATGAGTTCTTGGTAGATATCACTTTATCTTGTCTTTTTTTTTTTTTTTCTTCTTCTATCTCAAAAATAATTCTTTTGTACAGCAAATGTGTTCTATCCTCATGTACCTGGCCAATTCCTTTCTTTCTCTTTTGTTTATATTTGTTTATATTATCGGGTGCATAGAACTGGGTAAACTGATATAAGATGTTTGTTTTTTTTCTCTCTCATTTTTAAAAATGTACATTTAGTGCTGCAACTCATAGCACTTTGAAATACCTCATTTTGAAAAATAAATAGACATCGTAAAAAAAAAAAAAAAGAAATCCTCATCTTTGCCTTTGTGGATCTTTTTATTGCTCTAAAAAAAAAAACACAACAAGAAGAAGCTGCCACCTTTGGCTCCCCTCGGCTCTTTCATATCTGCCTCCCTCTCGCGCTTTATTTTCCTCCACATCTCTGTATTTGTTTTGCCGCTCTCAAAGACTCATCCTGACAAAGAAAGAGAGTGTCTTCTGAATCCTCTCTGTCTCAGCACCCTGCGGCTGCCTCCCCCTTCTGTAGCCTCTCACACCCACCCACCCACACACACACCTACACACTCACACACACTCTTCAAGTGCACACACACACACACACACACACCTCTATTTCCCTCTCTCACCAACACGCAGCTCTTCCTACTACATTGTTCGGGCTGTTGCCATGGAAACTGGAGCAGCTGCTGAGTGGCAGACACGAGAGTGAGTCTTTTATTTGTCTGTTAGTCGTCTGTGTATTTCTGCCCGTGTGTGTGTGTGTGTGTGTGTGTGTGTGTGTATGAATGCAAATGTCTGTATGTGTGTCTACCTTTTGTTGCGGTCTGTGTGTGGCCCGGGCGCCTGATATCTCCGGCGTTGTGCGCTGCCTGCCACGATGGCAGGACAAGGCTGGATACTGTTTACCAACATCAGCCACATGGCTCTCTCCTCCCTCCTCCTCCTCCCTCCTCCTCCTCCCGCCCTCCCCTCTTCGCCTCCTTCCCCTCGGTGCCTCCAGTGCCGGGCCTTAACCCAAATATGTGCCTTTTCAGGAGTCTGGCCAGGCGTTCTCTGGAGAAGGCTGAAAGAGAAATCTGTTGCTACGGTCTGCGTAGCCATTCAGCAACAACAGAGGCCGAGAGAAAGAGACACGCAGCGAGGGGAATTAACACGACATAAAATACACATTGCTGGTGACTCTCAGTAATCCGTTTTACCTATGGAGACTGCAGAGCGCCATAAGAGCCGTGCATCGCTTCTCTGTACGGCACTGCAGGACCAATCAAACGCTCCGGTGTTTACTCTCTCGGTACTGCACGTTCAGCTCCTTAAGAGCCGCCTTCGGTCACAGGAGCAGAATGATCCAGAGGTATGTGCACCATGTAAGAGACAGCGCTATATGAAGACTGATGACTTTGTTTTGGAGTTGAGACAGCCCGAGACTGAGCCTCTCGGTGGGGGAGTGGAGCTGGTGGATTACATAACAGGGGTCTGGTGTCTTTGTGCGCGCTTACCGTGTGTGTGTGTGTGAGTGTGTGTGTGTGTGTGTGTGTGTGTCCTCTCGTGGGACTTCCCCTAACCATCTGCCTAATGACTTATCCTGCTTGGTTATAGGATGAAAACAAGTTCACGGACAATAACACTGAAAAGCTGCTCGGAGAAAATAGAAGCGTCGCGTCACAGCCAACGATAGGTTCAGGTGTCTCAGATTAACGGAAACATTTAGGCCTCGTCCACACGTGTCTCACAAAACCAAGATGTTTTTCTACGATTCGACCTGTCATCCACATGAAAACGCAGATTTACGGCATTAAAAACCTCCGACCAGGCGCTGCTATCGCTCACCTGGTTGAGCTGGTGACCCATGTACAGGGGCTATAGGTCATGAGTTCAAATCCCGCTCATGCCCTTTTCTGCAGGTCCTTCCCCCATTCGTCTCCCCCACTTTCCCGTCTCTGTCCCTACTGCTCTATCAAATAAAGGTAAAAAATACATTTAAAAAAAACATTCGTTGATGCGTCTGCATGTGGACGTCGATAACCGGGTTTTAGGTTTATAAACATCACTGCCACCGACTAAATCTGTTCTTTACATCACATACGTGACCTGTGTTTACATTTGGAACCAGCGTGGACGCCCTCAGAACTGCGTTGTTTCTGGTCCAGGCCCAGATACCGCTCCACGTAGAAGAACACAGGCGAAGGATGGCGGTAAGGACGGTTATCTTCCGCCACCTCGCCATTCCACGTCTGAGGCAGGTTCTCCGTCAGAACTTTGAGACAGAAATCGTGCTCCTGGAGGAATGGCGTGACCATTTCTGCATGTCCTGGTCGTCACTCCTGTCGTCGGAGTTCCTACATCCTCACGTAGAACATGAACGTGCTGAACAACGCACTGATGCGGTTAGAGGTGGATGAAGTTTTTTCTAAAAACGAGGTGGTGTGTATATACGTTCGTTTTTTTCTAGACGGAGGGGGCAGGATGTTCGGTTTTACTAAAACCCTGCTACGTGTGGACAAGGCCTTCATATCATCGCTCAAAGGTGACTTTGGTAAATAAACATAAAATCGCACACCTTTCGGCGGCCTCTGCGGCCACACACACGGCTTCAGTTCAGATATCTACTCTGCGAAATGAGGCTAATTGTTTTAGAAGGGAGCCGACGTCCAGGGAGTAGCCGTCTCCCACGTTAAACAGACATATGGCCGTGGCTTTTCTCTGATTAATATCCATTATCTCCCTGCCCGCTGACTGCCTGCTTGGCTGCTCAGACACACACACACACACACACACACACACACACACACAGAGGACACAACTCTAATGGGCTTACACCCCACTGACGGACGTACATTAAAGCTACACAGGAGATAATGTGGCGTGTTTGTGTTTTTGTGTTCGTCCGCCTTGAGATCTTCATTAGCCGTTAATTGACAAACACTCGGCGCAACATTCCCATTGTCCTGTTGGACACCGGATCTGCATTCAACATGTTAACCTTCACATATGGAGGGAAACAATGGCTCCTGTGTGTGTGTCCGCACGCCTGAAATGTGCCCAAACCTCTGCACAATGGCATGCCCATCACCCATGCGCCACTCTGGGCTCCGTTTGCCAGGAGCCCCGCTATCTGTGGGAGGAGTGTGTCGTACGCATGTGTGTGTGTGTGTGTGTGTGTGTGTGTGAGGGGGGGGTGTCACCATCTGTTGTGGGGTCCAGTGCGGTCGCAGGTGCTCAGAAATGGTGTGTGTTTGGGTTGTGGTAGGTAGAGGAGCTGAACCCAACAACACCGGAGCAGGAGGGTATTGGGGCAGAAAACATGGATGTGTGTTGTTGGGAGGGGGGGGCAGTTCCTCAAGGGAGCACATTGCCCTAGCTGAGTAATATGCAGCCGTGACAAAGAGCTGTGGAGCTACAGTAATTGCAGAACACATAGTGGACAGCGAAGCAAGGGAGGGGAGGAGAGAGGAGGGAGTAACGGGAGAGAAAAGGAGGCCTGAGTGTTTGATCAAAGTTTACCAAAGTCTGAGGAGATTTGCATACAGATGGTACTGTAGCACGGCCCCCCGGAATACCTTCCCTCGCTTTATTTTTCTTCCTTCGTCTCTCTCTCTCTCTCTCGCACAAACACACTCGCACACAAATGTAATAGGGTTTCATTGAAGGAACCATGAATAGCCTTTCAAGAGCATGTTCTGAGGAAGAAACGGCCTTGGCTGCACAACACAGCACCCAGGAAAAGAAAGCAGGAGCGAGGGACGAGAGCCGGGAAGAAAAAACTGGAAGAAAAAAAAAAAGAGAGAGAGAGAAAGGAAAAAGTAAAGAAAAAGCACTGATTAGGACAGAAGATGGAAAGAGAGAGAATAGTGAACAGGGCTTCCCCCGCTGCACTAATTACTAAAACAAATTCCCCCAGAACAGCTTCAGCGGTCATGAAATGCACATACATCCACTAATAATAATCGTCCATTCACTGCCTCCATTCATCCGTTCCCCCGGCACATCCTCGGACCGTATTGACTTTGAATGGCATTGTCGCAGCAGTATTGATCATCTGAGTGCCGTCCTCTTATGTAACTTACATGTTCCTTTGAAGCCTTTGAGGCCGCTGACAATGAACCTGCTGTGCCAAGTGCCTGAGCGCCGACACAACATGACATATAACAGAGGAAGCCGCGAGCGTGTCCCGAACCAGCCTCGACTTGCTGTCAGCTGCCGCCGCCGCCGCCGCTCACAGTATAAAAGTATATTAGGCTATTAGTTTCAAGGGGTTGTGTTTGAATAGCAACAGCCGCGCAGATCACTGTGTTTAGAGACACTCAGCTGTCAGAGATTAATTTGTAAAGCACTTTTGCAAAACAGTGGTTACAAAGTGGTTTATAGAAGAAGAAAA